TTCTTTATTTTCATGTATACAATGAAACATGATTGTATCAAAACCCCCATTTCCACCTTCCAACTACTTCATACCCTCCCAACATTCCCTTCCCAACTTATGTCTTTAATTTTATAACCCACCAAGTCTAGTTAGTGCTGCCCATGTGTGCATAATATGGAGGCCATCATACTGAAGCATGGAAAACTTACTAATGGTCACATCCTTTGATAAAGAAAGATTCTCCCTCCCTAAGCAACTACCCACTGCCAATAGCTTTGCAGTAAGGAGTAGCCTGGAGATCAATTTACTCCATCTATTCTAGGATTTTGGTCAGCTTGATCTTGTGTGGGTCTTTTGCACAGCTGCTGAGAGTTCATGAGTGTGATAGCCATGCCATGTCTAGAAGACAACTTCACAGTATCCTCTGGTATATTCTTTCTGTTTCCACCTCCTCAGAGATCCCTGAGACTTGGTGGTGTGGGGAGACCTAATATAGATGTCCCATTTAGGACACTCAATCTTCTTCTCAGCACTTTGGCCAGTTATGCATCTCTCCATTGACTGTTGCTGTCCACTATGGGAAAAAAAAAAAGCTCTGACCAAGGTTTAGAGCAGCCCAAGTCTATAGGAATAGACATAAATGTTTAAAAGGCAATTTGACAGTATGACCGTTTAGTAAAATAATACAGGTTCTCCCCTAAGACCTATAACCTCCTCAACCTTGGGTTTTTTGACCAAGATTACAGTACCAAGTATGAAATCCCATTTTGTGGAGCAGGCCTCAAATCCAATCAGAAAGCAGTTTAGTTACCCCTTTACAGACATGCCACTATTATACCAGTAGGCACAGCTTGCATAGCCAAGGTCAGTATTGTAGCAGGCAGGGTCCAGCGCTAGGTAAGAACATCGATGTCTTTTCTCCCCCAGCATCCCATGCAGTATCTTCTAGCACTATGAAAGCTAGTTAGCAGGGAGGGAGTTTCCTATTCAGTCAGAGTTCAGTCACTCTATGTCCTACAGCCAAATTGTTTGGTATCTTCAGCAACAAGGTCTTGTTGTGTAGTTACGGTGGGTAACCAAGAAAATGGGACTAGCCTGTTTGTTTTGGAGAACTCTGGGGCCTCCCTGACCAATAACTTACAGGGACATATCCCATGCCTTATACTGTGATTTACATTTAATACCCCATGTCTACCCATGACATGGGTGACATTGTCTACCCATGCAGAGTAGTTCTATTGAAATGCCTTTTTAAGGTTGATTTTCAAATAAGTTTCCTAACTAATAGGTTTCCATAATGTTTTTTCATACATGCTTAATATTGGTTAAAGTCGCCCACCACCCCCTTCCTCCACTCCATCCCTCCACCCCCATTTCTGCTTATCCGTTAACCCTCAGTATTCCCTCCCACATTTTACATGTATTCTGCTATTCCTCCACTTATTTAAGATGGATCATGAGAGAGTAGGCTTCCAGGTAACTTTTCATAACCCATTCTTTTATGTTACTCCACCCCTTCACCCCGATTTCCCCCATACTCCCACACCCCTCCTTTACTTATTTTTATTTTATGTGTATGAGTGTAAGTGTATCCATATTGTACAATGCCTGTGAAGGCCAGAAGAGGGTGTCAGAGTCCCTGGAACTGGAGTTAAGGACAGTTGTTAGCCACCATGTAGGTGCTGGAAACTGAACCTGGGTCCTTCTGGAAAAGCAACTAGTGCTTTTGACCACTGAGCCATCTCTCCAGCCCCATACCCCTCCTTGATTTAGCCTTTCTGCCATCAGTATTACACCTCACTACTTTTGTTTTGCCTATAATCTACAATCCCTTAACTTGTCATCCCTACCCAAAAGCCTCTTTTTATGAGAAAATATTTTTATGTGTATGAGTGTATTGCCTGCATGTATGTAAGTGCACCAGTGTCGTGCAATACCCAAGGAGGTCAGAAGAAGGTGTCAGGTCCCCTGGAACTGGAGTTACAGACAGCTGTTAGCCACCATGTGGGTGCTGGGACTCAAACCCAGGGCCTCTCCAAGAGTAGTCAGTCCTCTTAACTGATGAACCACCTCTCCAGCCCTAAGAAAATAATTTTTTAAATCAGTGGTTCTTCACTAGGGGTAATTAGTCTCCCAGGGGAACTTGAGCAGTACCTGGATACATATTCAGCTGTCACAACTGGGGGGAGGTGGGATGCTTCTGTCTAAGAGGTAGCAACTAGGGATGTTGATAAACATCCTGTGGTACACAAAATCTTCTCTGCAACAAAATGACAGTAATCATGAGGCCGGCCAACTCTGCTTTATGGTTCTCAATGAATTTATCCTAAACAGCCTTGAGTATTCATTACTTAAACGGCGACTGGGGATCTAGTATGATGGTAAGACATGGTACCTGTGGTGTATCTAGCAGGGGAATCGCAGATGTCCAGTCAATGTAATACAGAGCACCCTAAGAGCCTGAATGGAAACACAGCTAAGTATAAGCATGAGGGCAGGACTGAGAGATGGAGAGGAAGTGGTGTCACTTTTTCCAAGAGGTCTATAGACTGCATATTTACTCATATTCAAAGAGTGATCTCTTGAATATAAATGTGAGGTAATCGCCAGGGAAACTCAGAAAATCCCTACATATTTTTAAAATAACGTTTCTGTTTCCACATACATTTCCTTGGAGAAAGGAGACAAGCAGCCTACTGTTGTCTTTGTGACTTTTTTCCTATGATTATTTTTCTAACATTTTTCTAGTACCAGGAAAAGACTTTTATTTCTTCCTCTTATTTTATTCCATCTATAGTTTTAAGATATGAATAAGCACGAAATGTAATTCTGTAGTTGCTAATTGAGCAATATGTACTTGGCCTTTTTTTTATATTTTGCTTCAGATGGCAACTTAAATGTATGCACCATATACATTGAGGGCGCATTTTCCTAAGCATCTGTTCTTACTTGATCTCTTATTACTTTTTCACATTGAGTGCCAAGTGTGCAGTAGAAACAATGCTCACCTTACTTTCTGCCACTGTTTTCCAATCTCAGAGATGTCCTGGAATAGCATGAAAATGCTTAGGAAGAAGTCACATAAGCATAAGAAAAAAGGGACATATTCCCTCAGAATATTAGGGAGCAAACTGAAAGGAGTTTGATCAGAAGTGCACCTGTGTTAGGTTTGCAAGGCTGGAATTGTCAAGGGATCATTTCCATCACCAACACCACAGGTAATGATGTTTCTCTCAGGGCAGCAGTGTGGATGGTTAAACTGCCCGGAACATTGGTTGGGGGCACCCAGCTAAGCTGAGATGTTAGTCAGTTATGAAATAGAATGAGATGATGTCATAGCCTGCACAGGAAGTATTCTAGGCAACCTTAAAAATACAATTAACATACATAGTCTGTGATTTGTTTATTGATTACCACGCACAATACTTAGGAAGCAGCAGCAATGTCATTTTGTTTGTGCTTTAGTTAACTTTGGGTTTAGATCTTGGCCTTTGCATTTTCTAGTGCTGGGATCTGGGTGGGTAAACACAGCCTTCCTGAGTCAATATTCTACCACCCATGAAATGAGGAAAATCGTACCTATTTCTCCAGAGTATTCTTTAGTCAACCAGCCTGAATCCTGTTGGGAAAGCAGAAACTACAACAGTAAATCTTAACAGAAATAACTTAATATAAGGAATTTGTTCATCAGTCATTGGAAAAACCAAAAGAGCAAAATAACAGTAAAGAAAAGCGATCACTTTGAAAGTCGGGAAACCACAGGGCAGAGGCTAGATGTATGAACACCCAGATGTTTGAAACGTGGACTTCGTGGGTCTAAGGCAGACTGCAGAGAAAGGAGAGACCACTTCTGGGGTGCCATTCTTGCAGAAGCCTAAGAACCCACAAAGCTGAGCCTAGTTGGTTCCAGGAAGGTGCAAGAGAAATGCCCATTGGACCCAGTTGCTGCTGCAGGGTGATAAGACATCACCTGTCATTACTCCTTGAACAACACATTATGACAGTGATTTACACAGCATTTGCCTTGTATCTGCTATTGTAAGTCATCTAGGGATGATTTAAAACACACAGGAAGACACGCTACACAAATATGACATTTTACATCAGGAACTCAAGTGTCTGAATTTTGGTATCTGTGAGGGATCCTGAGTTCCCCATGGATACTGAAGGATGACTATAGTTACACACTTTAAAGAGTACTTCAGACCCAACTTTTTTATGAATTGAGAGAAACAAAAGACTCTTCAAGACTATCAGAGAAACTTCAAAAAAGATGAGGATGAGCAAGAAGAATTTGAAATGGAGAAACTACACAAGGCAGAAATTCGCTGGTGGGTGTGTTGCCACCTGACCTCAAGGACTCCAGGAAGGAGCATAGCAGGGGAACAGTAGGCTGTCTCTGTGCTTCATTCTTATCTATAGATGAACCAATGGGGCCATTTAGATAAGTAGAAATTATATGTGAAATGAATTATCTTTATAGTTCCCCCATCTTGTTTAGCATAGACCTTGCATGGAGTAGAGTATTTGGGAGAAAATATTTCATTGAATGGGATAGGATGGCATAACATAAAATGGAATTGTGAAGGTGGGTCTTAACTGAGCATACACCTTATACATCTGTCTTAATTAAAATATTCAACACTTTGGAATGTTCTACACAAATAGCAATTTTAAGCTGAGAAGTTCAGGAACTAAAATAATTCAAGCAATGATTATAAAGAACACTTTAATTGATAAAAGCCTGATGACAAATTGGTAACAAGTAAAAATGTAAGTAAACCATGAGGGCAAATTGCTATGTGTGGAGTGAGGTCTCTGTTGTCAGAGTGAACATAACAATGACTTTGGACAGACCAGGAAGAGCTAATGAAACCCTTACAGGCTTTTGTTAAGTCCTAGGGAATACTTTTGAGTAACTGTAGTGACTCCTGTAAAAGTCATCAGTGTAACTAGTGCGGACTACAGATGAGTTGGCAGTACACCCATGACTAATCTCTTGGTTTCTTCTTTGGCAGATCCCTTACAGGATTTTGGCTTTTCTATTGACCAGTGTTCCAAGGAGGTAAAACCATATCTCAACATTAAATTTGGCATCATTCTGAGTAAGTAGGAATAATTACCTCAAAATAAAACATAGCAAAGGCCTTTCTACTCAGCACACCCAATGACTTACAGTTAACTAGTACAACAGGCTGTATCACTAGCCCTGCCCTATCCATCTTCCACATCACCTTCCCGCCCTCTCCTCCTGCATCACTAGTCCCACCCCCACCTTCTTCTGTGTCACTAACTCACATTCTTCATCTTCCTTTTGTCTATCTCTAGATAATCCCGCATTCTCACTGAATGCTGTGCTTTTGTACTGAAAAGACTCCAGACACTCACTTGGATACTGTAAACCCCTGAAGTCAGCATAGCCAGCAAAAAAGAAACTATTGTCTTGATTTCTCATAGAGAGGCTCTCTTGCTATTTGCGGCATAAACAAATCTGCTATCCACCAGCAACAGCATGGTCTGGTATTTGCATTATTTTGTTTCCCAAATAGTTAATGGAAGTGCTAACAACTCTACTCAGGTACAAAGAGGATGTGCAAAATCTTTCTTTCTCCCACCCCTATTCGTGAGCTGGCATGCTTCCTGGTTTTGTTTGCTCATGCCATTACAGTTAACCAATGTGTTTGCAATAGCTACTTAATTATCCTGTTTTCTAGGCCAGTTTTCTCAAAACCAAAACAGAAGGAGTCAATAAGCCAAGCATGTAGAATATTCCAGAGAACTAGAAGGAACAGTCCCAGAGACTTAAGAGCTCTCACATCATTGGGTATTTCTAGAACTTCGCACAACTCAGAGCATCTGGAGAAAAGCTTTGCGGAGAAAAACAAAGAGGGAAAAGAGAAATGGGTGAAACTCAAAAGGAAGAAGTAGAAAAGGGGGAGCTGCCAGGGGAGCTTCGAGAATTCCCTGGGGAGCGATGGGCAGGCAACAGTGTTACCAGACAACAGTGGGATTACAGGGGTTCATCCATGGCCTGCTGCCATCCCTGGGCATAAGGAACACTCAGAGCTAAGGAGTTCTAGAAGCCAGGCTTGTAGACACCCCACTGAAGGGCCAGAGCATTGAGTATCAGGGCTGGGGAGGAGGGTCAACAAGCTTCTGTGCCTCAAACAGGTAAAGCTGAGGTTGCAAATGCTTCTCTGCTAAGAAAAGAAGAAAGCGCCCCTCCACTACAGCAGGTTGAAGGCAGTCAAGATCCCTTAGCTCATGTTGTTGAGTCTTGAATGCCCTTGCACAAGGGAGACACAACACTGAAGCTGTGCTTCTCTCTATAGGAGAGGACATCAGAAAGCTGTTTCTGGATATAGTTCTTATTACGAAAAGCTCCTCTGTTCTGAACTTCTCCTATCCCATCTGTGAGGAAGATCTGCCCAAGTTTTCCTTCTGTGGAAGACGAAAAGGAGGTAAGCCACGTACATATCTGTCCTGATGACTGCCTGCATCTGACATCTGGATCCTAGGCAGAGCCCTGGCTCTTCCTGCTCACCTCTGGGCAACCTTCACCCCACTCATCAGTACCCATTGTATAAAAATACCAGGTACCAAAGAAAAGTAGCCAGTTTCTTGGCTAAAAGTCAAAATGTCCTTGGGCCTCTTAACAGCATACTCTGTTTTAAAGGCCAAAAATGTCAAAAGTATTTGGGAGCTCTGATCTAATCCCTAAAAGATTTTAAAAGATTTACCTAAATTCTAAAATGTTAGAGTAGCAAAAAGCCAAAGGAAGGAAGGAAGGAAGGAAGGAAGGAAGGAAGGAAGGAAGGAAGGAAGGAAGGAAGGAAGGAAGGAAGGAAGGAAAGAAGGAAGGTAGGTTAGAAAAAAGTGATGGGGAAATATGGGAGGAGTTGGAGGTGAGGGCATGGATTTGATCAAAACACCTTATATGCATGTATAAAATTCTCAGTAAAGTTAAAAAAAAAAATACCAGGCAAGTTTGTGCCAAGGGCCTACCTTAGAGGACTGTTGTAAGCATCAAAATGACGATGATTTGTTACTGAGTATAACCACAACTTATTAAAAAGACTGGCGGCAGAAAGAGCCACTTCAAAAATTCCCTCAGGAGTCAATGTGTCTCCATATTTCCTCTCCATGATCTCTGGAATGGCACATTCGACTCCGAAAAGAAAACAAATCAAGGCTTGCTAATTGTCATTGTCATTTCCATGGCGCCACTCTCTCTACTTCCTGGAAAGATTTTGTTTGTGTGTGTGTGTGTGTATGTGTTAGTGTGTATGAGTAAAGGCATGTAAGTGTAGCTGCACACGTGTGGAGGTCAAAGAACAATCTCGGGTGCAGATCCTCTCCTTCCACTTTGTTTGAGAAAGGATCCCTTGTTCTTTGTTGCTTGCTGGGAATTCTCCTGTCTCTGCATTCCACCTCTCCATAGGAACACTGGGATTGTAGACATGTGCTATCATGCCTGGCTTTACATGGGTTCTGGGAAGTTGAACTCAGCTCCTCACATTTGTATAACAAGAGCTTTACCCATCTCCCTAGCCCCTGAAAAGATTCTTGATGAGTTGCATTCAATCATGTATTCCTTCACTGTGGCAGAACTCTTTGTGTCAATTTCGTTCCTTTTTTTGTATTTTTTTAATGTTTAGAAAAAATGTGCAAAAGCAGAATGCCTGAGCATCTGCGGTAGCATCACTGATGAGAAGAAGGAACACATCTGGAAGTGAATTTAAACAGCAGTTCTTAGCAACATGATCGGGAATCTCAAATTTCTTACAAATGGCCAGATGCTAATCCCATCAATCATGACATTTTAGGTTTTAAATATAGCATAGATAACATTTACTGAGATTTAATTATAAGGTAGTTTTCTACTGAAAGTGAATTCTTCCCTTTCATGGGTCCCTTCTAGTTTCCTGGCATCTACCCTCCCTCCCACATTGATAACACATATATACAAACGAGGAGCTAAGATTCACATGTAAGAGAGAACATGTGCTATTTGTCTTTCTGAGCCTGGGTTACCTCACTTAATAATAGTTTCTAGTTCTTTCCATGTACCTGAAAATTACTAATTCCATTTTTCTTTTTCTTTATTGCTGAATAAAATTCCGTTGTGTATATGTACTCCGTTTTTGTTATCTAGTCATCTGTTAAAGGACATCTAAGCTGATTCCACTTACTTGCTAGTGCAAATAGATAAGCAATAAATGTGGATGAGCAAATATTACTGCAGTAGGATGTCAAGCCTTTTTTTTTTTTTTTTTTTTTTGAGACAGGGTCTCCCTGTAGCCCCAGCTGTCCTGGAACTCACTAGGTAGACCAGGCTGGTTTCGAACTCACAAAGATCTACCTGCCTCTGCCTCCCAAGTGCTGGGATTAAAGGCATGCGGCACCACACCCGGCCTGTCAAGCCTTTTTAGTAGACACCTAGGTGTGATAGAGGTGGGTCTTTTGGAAGTTCTATTTCTAGCTTATTAAGAAAGAGTCCCAGTGAAATCCATGATGGCCTCACCTGTTTATATACCGACCAGCAGTGAACACATGTTCTTTCCCCACATCCTCACCAGATTTGTTGTCAATTGTTTTCCTGATGACAGCTATTTTCACAAGGGTGAGATGGAATCTCAGAGTAGTCTTAATTTGTATTTCCCTAATGGCTATAGATGTTGAATGCTTAAAAATACTTATTGACCGTTTCTATTTCCTCTTTTGAAAACTCTCTGTTTAGATTCTCAGCCCATTTTTATTCATTCTTTGAAAATTTCATACAATGTGTTTTGATCACATTCCAACCCCCTCCCTCATCTCCAACCCCATATTCCCCCAAGTCATATCCCTACCATTGTTTTTCTTTTTTTTAAAGGCCTATTACATCTAATATGTGTTTCCCAAATTCTTTGGAGTATGATTCTATCCCTGGGAGTTTGGTTACCCTACCAGGCTTCATACTTCTAAAGAAAAATGACTCTCCCTCTCCCAACAGCTATCAATTGCCAGCAGATCCTCAGTTAGGGCTGGGGCTTCTTGCCCATCTCTGCATCCATGCTGATTTATGTCTGGGCTTCTAATCTGTTCTGTTGATCTATGTATCTGACTTTGTACCTGTACTATGCTGTTTTTATTACTGTGGCTCTATAGCATAACTTGAAATCAGGTATGGTAATACCTCTAGCAGTACTGTGCTCAGGACTGCTTTGCTGTCAGAGGCTTTTTGTACTTCCCAAAAAATTCTAAGACTGTTTTCTTTGTGTCTGTGAAAAATGATGTTACTATTTTGATGGGGATTGTATTGGATCTGTAGATTGCTTTTGGTAAGATGACCATTTTCACAGTATTGATTCTTCTGGTCCATGGACACTAAAGTTTTTTCCATCTTTTAGTGTCGTCTTCAACTACTCTCTTGAGAAACAAACCCTCTCTCTCTCTCTCTCTCTCTCTCTCTCTCTCTCTCTCTCTCTGTGTGTGTGTGTGTGTGTGTGTATGTGTTTTCTGTGAATAAGAGTGTTTCCTGACTTCTTCCTAAGTGTGTTTATCATTGGTATATAGGAAGGTCACAGTTTTTTGCATGTTACCTTTATATCCTGTCACCTTGCTGAAAGGGTTTATCAGCTGTAGAAGTTTTCTGGTGGAGTCTTTAGGGTGTCAGACACAGAATTGTATCTGCAGAGGAGGGTACTGTGACGTTCTCCTTTCCCATTTATGACCCTTTTATTTCCCTCTCTTGTCTTGTTCTTCTCCTAAGACTTCCAGCACTATATTGGAGCGGAGAAAGCAGAAACCCTTATCTTGTTCCTGATTTCAGTAGAAATGCTTTGAGATTTTACCGTTTAACATAATATTGCCTGTAGGTTTGTCATTTATAGCCTTTATTATGTTAAGTAAATCCCTTATGTTCCAAGTTTCTTCAAAACTTTTATCATGAAGAATGTTGGATTTTGTCAAAAGCCCTTTCTGCATTTATCGAAACACCCCTGTGATTTCTGCCCTTGAGTCCGTTATGTGATGGATTACATTTATTGATGTGTGTTGAGCCATCCCTGAATCCTTGGAATAAAGCTTATGAGATTGTAATGAATGAACATTTTATATTTTCTTGGGTTTGGTTTTTAAGTGTCTTGTTGAGGATTTTTGCAAATCTATTCACCTCTTCCTACCTTGTCTACAGCAGCTGCCCCCAAACCACTTGGCCACATTTAGCAACTCTCCTATCCTGGGTCTCCTCCTTCTCACTTCCTCTCTCTGGGTCCACTCCCTCCTCTTTCTTTTCCCTCTTTTCCTCCCTCTTTGCCCCCTTCTCTCCTTCCACAATGACTGAGCCCCCTACTTGGTGCCAAGTGCTCTGGAAAACCTAAGATGAACCAAGAATGTATTTTTGCCATTCAGAATATAATTATTGGCCCGAGATGAGAGATTCACAGAACAATGATTCAAAGTGATGTGCACATTAAACAGGAATAAACAAAATGCAAGGTCAGACCAAGAAGTAGCTCATCTGCATGGTGTTTTGCCTGTGGGAACATGCAAACTGAATAAAGAATCACTTTCCTGCTTAACATCATCTTAAGCCTATTATGAGGTGTTGAGCTATGTATAGTCATGGCTAAATAATATTCCACTGTATATGGATCATGTTTACTTTATCCATTTGTTGATGGACACTTAGGCTAATTCCAAAGTCTATGCTATTTAATGAGCAAAGTACATCATAAACTTGACTAGCTTACTTCTTCAGCCACATCACATATGTATCTTTCACAATCTCATTGAAAGGTTACCACCTTCTGACCACAACTTGCATGTTAACACATGCTCTGCTGTTCAAATGGTCAGTCCCCTTGGTCTGTGAATCTTGCTCCCATTTGTCTTCCATGAAGATGTAACCCAAGAATCCTTCCTCCAAACCCAACTAAATTAATTAGTTGCCTTTAGTCATTGCCAGAGTCGGGGAAGAAGGTAGGAGAGAAGATGGGAGAGATGCTGGCTAAGGGATACAGGGGTACAGATGGATAAGAAGGATAACTGTGACTGTGCTATGATGGCCAACAATGCATGATTTCTACTTCTGCTGCAGCCCTGGGCTCAGATTTAATTTTATTTGTGTGTGTGTATGTGTACATATGTGTGTACACATGTATGTGTGTATTTGTGTGTGCATGTGTATATGTATATGTATGCATATATTTGTGTATGTGTGTCATTTCTACTTCCAATCACAATGTTAATTGCTTTGCAACAGTCATTCCTGCAGCCAGTTAGAAAACAAAAATCCTGAGAGGCCTCTGAATTTAAGATTTCAGTTTCTTTGTGCATACGTGTGTGCATGCACATGCATGTGTGCATGTGTACATGTGCATGTATGTATGTGTGGATTTGTGTGCAAATGCATGTGTGTGTGCCTGTGTGTATGCATGCATGTATGTGTATGTATATGTGTGTATGCCTGTGTGAA